AGAGATGTGTATAAGAGACAGGCCAGATACATTAGCATGTGTGTTTTAATCGTGGAAAAGGAAATTTTATTCTATGCGATTAATACGAAGTATTTTGTATCTAACAAAAATGGTATTTTTGTCGATAAAACAGACGGCTTTAGCATCCTCTTAAAGTTTACCATAGAAATTAGTAAGGATGACTGTATTGATTTCCTTGATGTAACTATAATAGCTGACAGCCGGGAACTGAATATAACAAATCTACTTTCTCGGGCGGATTCTTAAACTTCCACTCACAACACCCTATTTGCCATAAGAGAGGAGTTTTATTTAGTTTAGTGGATAGAGTGTTACTGCTTTCCCATCCTCAATTCCATAAAAAAAATCTTGAGGACTTGATTCACATTTTTCAAAAATGGATATCCGTTACCTTTCATTTTTTTCCATTAATACAAGGCTAAAATTTCACTCTTCAAAAACTGAAGATTACGCTCTCCGGAAAAAAATTAATAAGTCTAATAATCGTTTTTTCACAGTCCCATATGTTAAAACTATTTCTTAATGCTTCATACTAATGTCTACAAGATTAAATCTCAAAACAGCCTTTTCCATTCCTAACAATTTAAATAAATTCATAAAATGCGGAAAAGATGTGCTAAATCGTGCGGCATATCAAGACGTGGTGTACCAATTTCATGTCAAGATTGCAATACTACGTATATAGGTTAAACGAAACAACAACTTGGTACTAGAATTAAAGAGTATCGCCAAGATATTAATAAAAAATCCGGCACGCTGTCCGTCATTTCTTATAATCGTGCTATACTCAATCATGAATTTGAGTTGGCAGATGTGAAGATTGTCGACAATGAACCATCGTATGAAAAACGTTTGATTTCTGAAATGGTTCATATTAAGACTCAAAAACACAGTCTTAATAAACAGAGTGACATAGGATCACTGCCTGATCCGTATCTTCCGCTTTTAAATTCATTACAGCCACACTAATAATTTGTATTCTTTATCCTTCATTTTTTTTCATTTTTCCCCCTCCCTCCCACTCTCTTTTCCTCCTCTTTGTTTTTTTCTATCTGAAGGAATAGAGATGGCATTTATGTGTCTTAGCTTGCATTACATAAAGACTCTTAAGTGTGACCTACATAGAAACACACGTAGAACTGCCACTGACTGTCTAATCATTTTGATAATTTATATAAAGCGTGACAGAGACTCCTCAAGGTATTTAATTTTAATATAATTTAAGTAATTCTATTTTTTGTTTCATGATTTTTTACGGTATTGACCAGCACTGACTTTGTATTGTATAATATATTCTAAAATATCCAAATAATATATTTAAACCGATCAAGCTTTATCTACCATAAAACCGAAGAAATTGAAGTTACACACTTCGTAATATACTGTTTTGCAGACCTACGCATACATCTGAAGACTTGCGCCTTAATCTAGTTCATATAATGCGATAAGTAGTACTCACATTTTTATATTGTCTTACCATTTTAGACGACCGTATGTGTTTGTATTTTAAATTTTATTTGGTTAGACCGTTAGGATGACCAAATATTGTTTTTAAATTATATATTATTAATTTTGCGCTTAACATTGAAAATGATCCTATTTGGATCGAAACGTCTGTTTACTATATTTTAATTAAAGAGTTACATTTACTTGGAGCATATAACACCCTGCTTTGGCTCATAACACTTTATTTTTTATTAATTTATTATTTATTGAGCTGAAAATTTCAATTTAGTTATAAAAGTTTATTTACATATGTTTTCAAATGGTAGCATATTATATTTTAAAGGCAGAACAACAAGGTAATTGAAGCAAAAAGAGCAATTAGATAAAGTAATCACTTCTTCTATCTTGCAATGATATATAGAATTTTGGGGATTAAGAAGATGGTTTTTGTAATAGAAATCTCATTGTCATTAATACAAAGAAATATAGATTATAAATAATTATTTAATTTTCTAATAGTTTGAAATATATGAAAAATAATTAAAAAACATCTTAACTTAAATCTGTATATTAATGTAAATATGTATATACAATGTACTGAAACATATATCCGATGCATGAAACTGTATATATAGATTTTTTAAAATGTAATTTGATTAAATTAGAAAAAAATTTTTAAATTGCATAAACATTCGTAGGTAAGCTTGTTGGGATAAACTTCTGAAAACAACCCATCCCTCCGATTTCAATGAAACTTTGTCAAAAGTTTTAATTTGAGTTAAAATAAAAGCCCTTAAAAGGATTTTCAACGACTCCTGTGAAAAAGCCATTTTTTAAGATGAAATGATAAAAAAGTGATAGATAGACAGGCAAAGTCAACATTGTCCATCCAGTGGTGGCAATGTCAGTCATTCATTGCAAACCCATGTGGATCACTGGCTTCGCGTTGTAAAATATAATACATGCGTGGGGGCAGTATGTTGAGCCCCCCCCCCCTTCGGGGAGATTCCACCTCGTTTCAAACTAACCTAACTCAAACCATTTCTTGGTGTGGAATAGACCTCGCTTTGTGTAAAAAGTTGCAAACCCATGTAGGACCTCGCTTTGCGTTGTAAAATATATGCACGAAGAAATGATCGTTATTTTCAAAGGCATTATGCAAAAAGGCTTATTATACAAAAAAACATACACTTTTCTTATTTATAAATTCATCTAATAAATTTAAATTTATTTAAACATATATTTCTATTTTTTACTGCTTCCACTCCCCTCAGACTCTCCCTTAGTTATCTTTTTACTTATAATAATCCCTAATTAATCAAATATATAATTACAGTACCTATATTCATTTGGTAAATCAGTATAACAATATATAACTTTATTTGAACATTTTTTGTATTAAACTTTATTTGCGCTGAATATCCATTTAAGGATATTCACTTGACATCATTCCGAGTATTTCTGCCAAAAATCATAACAATTAAGCATGGATTGTTTTCGGAAGTTCAGTCGCTTGTCGGATATGATACGAAAAATTTTATACAGGGTTCAGTAAATCGCCTGCAATATCTTTGGAAGGTAATTCTGGATCCTAATAAAAGAAAAAAAGGTTAAATATAGATCCGGAAATAAGTCGATTCCAAGTTATAACCACTTTTATGTTAAAAAAATTGTAATTTAATTTTTATAATCATAATTATAATAACAATCTTAATTTATAAGAATAATCATAATTAGTCATAATAGTTCTTTTTTTTATCCAGGATTCACCACGTGAAAGCATAGTTTGCTTGGCATTCCTCTTTTTTATTTTTTTTAATTTCTTGATATTTGTAAATACAATTACATTATTTTTAAAATGAAGGATAAACAGGTATTTAAATTGAATATTTGATTAATCGAATATTAATTGTAGTATTTTGGATGAATTCAAATGTTTTTCAAAAAGTTCAGAATTTGTTTGATAGAAGACTAAGGACCTGCTGCTGAAGATGGTCATTTTGAATATCTTATTTAATTCGATTTAAATACCTGTTTATGTTTATCCTTGATTCTAAAAATAACTTAATCATATTTACAAATATTGAAAAATTGAAAAAAAAAATAAAAATAAGGGATGCCAAGCGCACTATGCCTCTACGAGGCATCCTGGATAAAGAAATGACTAATTATGATTATTATGATAAATTATGATTATAATTATGGTTATGAAAAATAAATTACAATTTTTTTAACATAAAAGTGGTTATAACTCGAAAACGACTTATTTTAGGTAACCTTTGTTTGTATAATTTTTTTTCCTTCTTTTTGAGTCTCGATCCCGAATCATCTCCTAAGTATTACAGACGATTTACTAGACTCTGTATATGCAAACAAAAATTTTTATCAATGTATCAATTTGATATCTTTTTGATTATGTATTGATGTACTTGTCAAAATCAATAAACTCCAGATTGTGATACTGTCCAAAGTCGCAAAAAATTTCCGGCAGGAGAAGATGTGCTTTGTTGACAATGTTTCTAATAAGTCGATGTGATAAGTAATATTGTTTGGCAACTGCGCAGCGATTCCTAAAAAATTTTGTAACAACCATAGGGCGACTGGGATGTTCTCTTTCTTTTTCGTATGATGCAATAGTAAATAAGTTCTTATTGCACACGCTTTCGCATTTAATAGCTATTATTCGGCATATAGCCATATTACGCATTGTCTCATAGTATTGATCCTTTGTTTCTTGCATCTGTTTGTCGAAGATATCCATGTATTTGTCATACATTTTCGATTGAATTGTCAATTTGTAAATGCTATCTTCCCAGTCCTGTCATATATCATATATATTTAAGCTATTAATAAAATAATTATTCCATTTTTGAAAGGAGATTTTTCCAAACTGTGTATTTTATATAGCAAAAAATCTTAACATTAAATTTAAAACTTTTACTGTAACAAAATTATACAGAATAAATGAAAGATACAAATGAATAAATACTATAATATTTCATTTATCTTTTATTATAAATAATCGTATGTTTTTATAATTATTTGTTTATTGTTTTTTCTATATAGAATTTTTCAAGAATAATATTAACATAATAATATCATTTTTCAAGATATGTTAATAATAATATTAATAACAATAATAAATAATCTTGTTTCATTGTAATCTACGATATTGTAGAATATTGAATAATTTAATAACAGGAATAAAATATTTCTTTAGATACCTTTTTATCAAAAATCTATACTTGATTTGAAAAAACATTTAAAAGACTGTCTTTATTGTATATTATATATTATTAAAATACATAACAAAATATATCTCCAGAAGGAAAGGAAAAGAAAAGGCAAAAAGGAGGAAAAAGAGAGAATATTTATTTGTATAATCTTTTAACATATATTTATTTTTAAATAAATTAATATAGGAAAAATGTTATACTTACATTAACATTAATGTTAATAGTTAACGTTACAATCGTACAATACAATATGCATATATATGCATATATGTACAGTGCTCGCCAAAAGTTCCGGACCATCTAAATAATATCTAAATGGTTTCGGAGGTATTGGATTAAAATTTATATAAGGTTACAATGGCATCATAAAATCTATCATTTAACCTCTAAAATATCTACTTTAACCCTACTGGAAGGCGGGAGAAGGGAAGCTGGAAAATCTTAAATGGCATGTGGAG